TTTATATACGCTGTCCGTAAGATCACGTGATTTACTCTGTCCCTACTGTCCCTAAGATCTGTCCGTAGATCCTCCGCTAATTCCGGCCAATGTTATGCCAATAAGTCACGTGAATGGCGTATCTACACCCACTTTATAATCTTAATCTTTCTAGCAATGTACGCATATTAATTCTCTTTTTAAATTATTAAAATTTAATTTTGCAATCTTGGTATTATAACTTTATATTGATAACTACTTATACGTGATCCACATTGATTCCCAAAAAATGTTAATCAATATGAGTGCACTTGATTAATTTGACATTCATTGAAGCGAATAATTTAAGTTGGAGGAAGATCCTTCTTAAGAGTTCCAAGGAATGTATGTTTTTCTTCGGCGGTCTGGAATCTACCATGACCAAATTTGGAACTCGTATCTATGAACTATAAACACAATTGGATATACACGTATATAAGAAAATAACCTTTTAATAAAGTGCACACTATGCATAAAATTTCAACAAACCTTAAGTGAAATCTTCTCCAGAGCAGAACGTTTCGTATGAGTTAGTAAAGATTTTCTTAGGGTAAGAACACGCCTTTTAACTCCAACACATGCACCCTTAATCATAACACTAATAAAAAATAAACACAATTTATATTAATGGAAAATATTGCATTGATAAATTTACTGAACATATTACTTACAAGTCCTCGTTCACATAACCGTAATGAGGGAATCCACCTAATGGTGTAATCTGTTTCACTGTAAGATCGTATTCGGTTGATGCATTACTCTTGTCATCACCCTTTCCAATGCGATAAATCTTCTTGTTGACTTCAGTCCTGTGATGATATCCATTTTGACCAGCACGCGGAACCGAGTACATAACTCTACATTCATAAGATATAATGTAAAATACCGATTTTTGTTTAACCTTTTAGGAATTATAATTTTTGTATTACCTTGAAGGATGCCATGCTTCTATAAAATATCATTAAAAGTTAATATGTTAATTATAACAAATTAATCATTAAAACTACATTTTAAATATCAAAAGATTATTTTCACTTACCAATACAGGCGACCTTTCGTAGACCTTTGTGTGTGTTTTACGAGGAAGTTTTTTTGTTCCCTAATGATGTGTCACGCCTTCGAATCCTTTACTCTTAGTGACTCCAATAACATCGATAAGCTCATCTTGCTCAAAAACAGAACTAATATCAACTGTCTGTTCAAATTTCTCATAAGCCCAGTCAACTTTTTGTTGAATACTACCACCATTAAGCTGAATTTCCATTAGGTGAGCTTTTTTCTGTCCTATTTTCACCTTTAGTATTTGAGTGTGTGCCAACACGCGAACAACTTGGCAATATTTTTTGATTCGATCAAGTTCTCTGCGAACGTCTTTAGCACCTTCTGCATACTTCTTCGCATACTTCGTGAATGCCTTCTTCTTAGAACGATACCAATTCTTATAGAAACGGCGTTTGACCTCATCAGACAAATGTTGGGCCCAAACTGTGGTCAACGCACGGAGACCACGAGGTGTTTCCACATAGCCTACGACACCAACAATGCACAGTGGAGGTGTTTCGATTACCATAACTGCCTCAACAACCTCTTTTTTATACATTTCTATTCAAGAAATTGGTTTATATTTTAAAACTCATCTATATTTTTAATTCTGTCAACTAAATACTCTAAGGATAAAGTTATTTACTTGAACCAGGTCGGTTCATATTACGAACAATATGAGTTATTTCTGCCTTATAACTAGTGTTCCTATGAACTGAACTGAACTTTTGGCCAAGTTCAAGTTCAGTTTAAAATTGAACTGAACTTGAACTTGAAAAAAGTTCAGTTTAGGTTCAATATTGAACTTTTAAGTCAAGTTCAGGTTCAGTTTAGGTTCAGTTTAAAAGTTTATGAATATGTTCAAGTTCAATGAATTATATATATAATACAGTATATGGGTGTGGTGACTTAGTGTAGTTGGTAAGTTGTTGCATCTCCAAGTGGCAGGACAAGAGTTT